TGATCTGCTACTAAAGTTGCCGATCCACTGAGCTTTTGATGATCTGCTCCTAAAGTTGCCGATCCACTTTGTGCTTTTGATGATCTGCTCCTAAAGTTGCCGATCCACTGAGCTTTTGATGATCTGCTCCTAAAGTTGCCGATCCACTGAGTTTTGATGATCTGCTCCTAAAGTTGCCGATCCACAGTGCTTTTCATGATCTGCTCTAAAGTTGCTGATCCCAGCTTTTTGATCATCTGTTCCTAAAGTTGCCGATCCACAGTGCTTTTGATGATCTGCTCTAAAGTTGCCGATCCACAGTGTTTCCATGATCTGCCTAAATTTGCCGATCGTTTTTGATCATCTATTCCTGGAAGAGGATCCACAGTAATTTTGATTATCTGCTTCTAAAGTTGCCGATCCACAGTGTTTTTATCATCTACTCCTAAATTTGCCGATCCATATTTTTTTGGTCATCTATTCCTAAAGTAGCAGATTGTTAATTTGATCATCTGCTGCTAAAGTTACCGATCCATATTGTTTTGGACCATCTGCTCCTTGCTGATCCACAGTGGTTTTGCTCCTAAAAGTTGCCGATCCACTGTGCTTTTGATGATCTGTTCCTAAAGTTGCCGATCCACTGGGCTTTTGATCATCTGCTCCTAAAGTTGCCGATCCACAGTGCTTTAGTTGCCGATCCACTGAGCTTTTGATGATCTGCTCCTAAAGTTGCCGATTCACAGTGCTTTTGATGATCTGCTACTAAAGTTGCCGATCCACTGAGCTTTTGATGATCTGCTCCAAAGTTGCCCTTTTAATCTGAGTTGCCGATCCACTGAGCTTTTTGATGATCTGCTCCTAAAGTTGATGATCCACAGTGTTTTTGATGATCGTTTCCTAATTTTGCCGATCCACTGAGCTTTTGATCATCTGCTCCTAAAGTTGCCGATCCACAGTGCTTTTGATGATCTGCTCCTAAATTTGCCGATCCACTGAGCTTTTGATGATCTGCTCCTGAAGTTGCCGATCCACAGTGCTTTTGATGATCTGCCAGAAAGTTGCCGATCCACTGAGCTTTTGATGACCTGCTCTAAATTTGCCGATCCACAGTGCTTTTGATGATCTGCTCCTAAAGTTGCCGATCCACTGAGCTTTTGATGATCTGCTTTTGATGATCTGCTCCTAAAGTTGCCGATCCACTGAGCTTTTGATGATCTGCTCCTAAAGTTGCCGATCCACAGTGCTTTTGATGATCTGCTACTAAAGTTGCCGATCGCTTTTGATGACCTGCTCCTAAAGTTGCCGATCCACAGTGCTTTTGATGATCTGCTCCTAAAGTTGCCGATCCACTGAGCTTTTGATGATCTGCTCCTAAAGTTGCCGATCCACAGTGCTTTTGATGATCTGCTCCTAAAGTTGCCGATCCACTGAGCTTTTGATCATCTGCTCCTAAAGTTGCCGATCCACAGTGCTTTTGATGATCTGCTCCTAAAGTTGCCGATCCACTGAGCTTTTGATGATCTGCTCCTAAAGTTGCCGATCCACTGAGCTTTTGATGATCTGCTCCTAAAGTTGCCGATCCACAGTGCTTTTGATGATCTGCTCCTAAATTTGCCGATCCACATTGTTTTTGGTCATCTATTCCTGAAGTAGCCGATCCACAGTAATTTTGATTATCTGCTTCTAAAGTTGCCGATCCACAGTGTTTTTTATCATCTACTCCTAAAGTTGCCGATCCATATTTTTTTTGGTCATCTATTCCTGGAGTAGCAGATCCACAGTAATTTGATCATCTGCTGCTAAAGTTACCGATCCATATTGTTTTTGACCATCTGCTCCTAAAGTTGCCGATCCACAGTGGTTTTGATCATCTACTCCTGAAGTTAGCGATCTACTGTGCTTTTGATGATCTGCTCCTGAAGTTGCCGATCCACTGAGCTTTTGATCATCTGCTCCTAAAGTTGCCGATCCACAGTGCTTTTGATGATCTGTTCCTAAAGTTGCCGATCCACTGAGCTTTTGATCATCTTCTAAAGTTGCCGATCCTCAGTGGTTTTGATGATCTCTCCTAAAGTTTGATCCACTGAGCTTTTGATGATCTGCTCTAAAGTTGCCGATAGTGCTTTTTGATGATCTGCTATTGCCGATCCACTGCTTGCTCCTAAAGTTGCCGATCCACAGTGCTTTTGATGATCTGCTCTAAAGTTGCCGATCCATGAGCTTTTGATCATGAAAAATAAAATTTCCTATCCATTAGTGTTTTTGATGATCTGCTCCAAAGTTGCCGATCCACTGAGCTTTTTGATGATCTGCTCCTAAAGTTGCCGATCGAAGTGCTTTTGATGATCTGCTCCTAAATTTGCCGATCCCATTGTTTTTGGTCATCTATTCCTATCGATTGTAATTTTTGATTATCTGCTTCTAAAGTTGCCGATCCAAAGTGTTTTGACCTTATAAAGTTGCCGATCCATATTTTTTTTGGTCATCTATTCCTGGAGTAGCAGATCCATTGTAATTTGATCATCTGCTGCTAAAGTTAGATCCATATTGTTTTTGACCATCTGCAAAAAAAAAGTTGCCGATCCACAGTTTTTTGATCATCTACTCCTGAAAAACTGTGCTTTTGATGATCTGCTCCTGAAGTTGCCGATCCACAGTGCTTTTTGATCATTTGCTAAAGTTGCCGATCCACATTGTTTTTTGATCATCTATTCCTGATTCCACAGTAATTTTGATCAAAAAGTTGATCCATATTGTATTTGACCATCTGCCCCTGAAGTTGCTGATCCACATTGTTTTTGATCATCTGCTCCTGACATTGCCGATCCACAGTGTTTTTTATCATCTGCTCCTAAAGTTGCCGATCCAGCGTTTTTTTAATTTGTTATCTAATATCGCTTTTTTTTTATTTCATGCTGACTTCATGATTCTCCCAATTTCTGAGTAAATTCTACAATTTAAAAAGGCCACCTGTTGCAGCTTACATTCCACATTTAGAACACAGCTGGTCAACATGTGCCAGGTCAGGCGTAGAGTACACTAATATTGAATAATATTTCATGTCGTATTTGTTGATTTGATTCAAAATTTCACCTTGCATGTTTTCACATGATTTATTTTATCATTTATACAGGTTGCCACACAAAAAACTAAAAAAAAATGTTACAGTTATTTGAAACAAAAGCAAATCATAGAAATTTAGTAGCTTAAAACAACAACAAAAAATACACAAATAGTAGATATGGTGTCCAAACTAAAAAGTTAGTTTTTTTTATATATGTTAGTTAATTTTTTTTTCATCATACAGTAAATCTAAAATTTCCCGCTTTTTTTTTTTGTTTGTATAGAGCACCCTGTATAACAAGTCGCTAAATCTCTGCAATATGTCCAGCGTTGTCTTGCAAGTTTCTATTATTCGGTTTGTTTGCTTAGCGACATGTGTCATTGAATATCCAAATTTAATTTTCGTTCGAGTGTTAGTAATTTCTTTTTCAAAGATGTATTGCTGGTAATATTTTCTTTTTTTTTATTTTAAAAAAATGCATTGCTGTCACCTTTACTACAAAATCTATTTTTATACTTTCATATTTCTTTGACACCAGTTTCGGGGTTAAGTATTTGTCTCCAGTTGGGACCCTAACAGGTGCTATCACCTCGACATAGGGTGGAGCTGGGTACAACAGCAATTAAGACGTGGTTTCACACTCCCCAATACGTCCAAATCAGTGGTCTTGCTGTTTATCGTCATACACAGGACGCCATTATTTGGAGAAGCCCATGTTTTTTTCATGACCTCATTCAGTTACAAAATTTATAGCAACCACAATGGTTTTCAAAAATAGGATGGTATGTTTTTGTTCCACAAGTTGCTTGTCGACAGTGTTTTTATTTGCCTTTCATATTATCGAACCTAACATCCCCACTCTCTCTCTTATTTGCCTTTCATTTTATCCAACCTAACAACCCACTTATCTCTCTCTTATTTGCCTTTCACGTTAACCAACCTAACATCTATCTATCTATCTATCTATCTATCTATCTATCTATCTATCTATCTATCTTATGTTCCTGTTTCTTTAGTATTATCCAGACTTCTGAGTATATTCATCAAGGTAAAAATCCCACCTTTTATAAGTTACATTTGACATTTTGAAAAGAGAAACAAAATCCCGATATTCAACCTTTGCCCTTTCAGTCAACCAACCAGGATCCTGTCACCGTGTGATCAGTTTAAAAAAATCATTTCTCAAAGTATTTAATGTGAGAACTGGCTAATGACATTCAATACCTCCAAAACCAATCTCGTATCATTTCATCATCACCGATCAGACCCTGAGGTTTCTCCAGTCCCGCTTAACGGTTACACTCTCATAGAGGCTCTATGCTTTGAACGTCTATAAGGATCTCAAGTTCACTCGAGTCCTTAAGTAGAACTCGTATATCCGAGCAATTGTTACATATGATGGAAAAATGGTCGGCTTATTGTACCGCTCTAGAAATTAACTGACTCCTTCTGCCAGACTTTATCTTTACAAGTGCCAGATTAGACCAAAAATGGATTATTCTAGCAAGAACAGGAGTTTCCTAATCCTCACTTTCCGAACTTAAACGAGTTCAAAATCGTTTCGGCGGTCTTGGTATGGATGATCTGCGTTTTTAAGTAAGCGTTTTTATTTCTTCACTCTAGACCTCAAGTATAATTCATATATACGATCAATTGGAAAATATGCTGGATTAATTGATTTGTTCTTCTTACAGTTTATCAACCCTTTACAGGTTATTTAAAGCCAGAAACTATTTTTAGATTGTAAGACTTTTTTGGAGATAACAACTAATTTGCTGATACATATGTCATACTAATTAACCCATAGCTGGTGGGAGGCGAGGTGTATTTATACAGTTGTACCTTTCTGAAGGGTGTTTGCGCGTAAGTGAATCTAACAAATCCGACTGGAATTTGAACTCTGCTTTCTGATTAACAATTCCAAGCCGTTATCCTTTACACCACCCGCACATCCAAGCTTACTACACCTGGTATTCCCAAGCGGTCACCCATCTGGGTATTGACCAGGCGCGACGTTGCTTAACTTCGCTGATCATACGAGAACCAGTATTACAATGTGATAATGCCACGTTTTTATATTTAGAGTTGCCAGATTAGACCCAAAATGTATCATTGCTGCCATATCTGGGCTTGAACTGTCCAACCCTCCCTTTCCAGTCTACACGCTTTCATCTGAAATTTCTTTCACGCAGCCTTGTTGGTGACAACTTACTTTCCTCTTTGTCGCCTTTCCCCCCACAGACTCAACGTGGCAAACTTGTCACGGATCTATCGCGATTTTTTTTTCATTTATTAATCCGACAGAGTTTTATCACTTTAAACGTTATTTTTAGTGGATACTCATATTTAAGTAGACGCTCCGTTTATTTATTAAACAGTATATTTATTTATTTTACAGTCTTTTAACGGTTTTGTTCCACGTGCCATGCCTTTTCTGGATATCTCAGTTTCAGCTAATTCCCTTTAGTCACTTAGTATATACTAGCAGTATAGCCCGGCGTTGCCCGGGGATGTAACAGTAAGAGATAGATCAAGTATCCACCATCATAAAGACTGAAAAATAAAATTGACAACGATTATTGTTTAAGGTTGACGGACACGCATGTCTTAATTAGTTTTTTTTTTTTTTTTTTTGTTTTTTACGAATTGGTCAAACCCAAACTCAAACAAAAACATTGTTTTCAGTCTCTATCGATTGAATAGAATTTTATTATAAACAAATGTCTTATAAATGGAATTTTTAAAGCATTCTGAATGTAAAAATAAAGAAAAAAGTGTGCAAGACAATAAGAAACACTACATGCCAAAAAAAAGTGAAGTTTTGTTGAAATCGGTTGAAAAATGTAGGTAGCCTTTCTGTAATCTTTTAGTTTTACAATTTATGATTTTTACTTATTGATTACAGTAAAAAAATTGCATATTTTGCTTGTGGTGATTGATAATTAGAATTCTGATTTGAATATATTTTCCACTCGTTTCTAATACAAAAATATTAACTTTATTTGGGTTTATTAATTATGATCTAACAAATCTTATTCATTTAGTAGCCTTTCTGTAATAATAATCTTTTACAATTTATGATTTTTACTTATTGAATACAGTAAAAAAAAAAAGACACCATTTAAGTAGTTTCCGGTTATTATTTTTAGTTAGGAGGACTTGTGTATGTTTAGATTTCATTATCATTCCCTAAAGATAAAGAATTATCCGATGTTTGGATTCGTACAATCAGTAGAGATCGTTAGATTATTGTTTAAGGTTGACGGACACGCATGTCTTAATTAGATTTTTTTTTTTTTTACGAATTGGTCAAACCCAAACTCAAACAAAAACATTGTTTTCAATCGTTATGGGTCTCCCGATTGAATAGAATTTTATTATAAACAATTGTCTTGTAAAAGTAAATTTTTGTTTTATCGGCTGAAAAATGTAGGAAATCCGATCCCATATATAAAGGAATACACACTCACAAACCACCTGGGTTTTTAACCCGATATGAGTTGTCCCCTTTCATTCACACGATGTCTCTTATCGTGTTTACAAATTGATTTTGTGCAAAAACAATTGTATTTTTCCCATTTTTGGCGCTATTAGAACCACCGCAAGGTAATTTTATGTAGTCCTGTGAAGTTTTGTTGAAATCGGTTGAATGTAGGAAATCCGATCCAATATATAAACGTACAGACACACACACACACACACACACAATCTGCGTTTTATAATAAGTAAGATGACTTTCGATACCCGTAGAAATTATACGGTTTTTACTGTTTTCCATTAATTAATTTAATGTCTCCTATCTCCATGAAATATAAAATCTTTAAATGGGCACTCTATAGAATAATTACGATTATATTATTTCGTAGTTATATCTCCTTTGTTTTTTGATAGCAGGACCAGTAACACAATAGTAATGGCAAAGCGTAACGGTCCTGCGAACTAAGGAACTGACTAACAAAGGGATGGTACTATTTTCCTATCTGAATTTTATTATGAATTTTAATTCTTCAGTTAATGATTGAATAAACTCATGGCGAGTTCTACGACAATGGAATATCCTTAGAAATTCCGCTATCACGTCGTTAAATATTTGAGATTAACCATTTTAACAAAATATTGCAATAACAATCTGAAACTGATATTTTTTTTTTCCATTTCACAGAAACACTTTTTTAATCAATTCACTCCAAGCAAGGCGATAATGCCACTAAGACGCAAGAGGGCTACTGGGAGTGAAATATAATGAAAAAACTTTCGAATGAACCGGAAACCCAATCAGGAAACAAAAGATAAACCTCTACTATATATATATATATATATATATATATATATATATATATATATATATATATATATATATAACTAATTTCTTTTTAAAAATACGATTCCAGATATTGCTATGTTTCAAAACTGAAACTAAAGTTGTAAATATAATTATTAAAATTTCGTTCCATTGTCAAGCGATGTTAGGAATAACTTTCTAAGAAAATTTACTTAATTTATAAGCGCAGACAATCTTAATATTTTAAGTTGTTAAGGTTAAGGAAAATTCAATTTATTTTGATTAGGGGTGGTTGGGTTTTAATTTGTTTATGGTCAGTCCCACACAGCTTGCGTAACGCTATGTAGATTATAAACATCAGTCTTAATCCAAATACAAGAACCAGTCTAGGTAATCAAGTACTTCCTCTACCGATTCGGGTCGTTATTAGCTTTGTTGAAACTATTACTGTTAAATAATTACATTCCTGGCGGTCACTTTTTATGTTACGGTAACTTGGGCCGAAAAAGATGGTAGATAAGTGAAAAAGATGGTAGAAATGATTAGAATATTTGGAAGTCATTAAAATTCAATTCTTGATTAAAATTCTTTTCTTTATCGATACAAAAGAAATTAAAATAAAAAAAATATGATTTAAAAAATAACCTTATGGCACATATTTTCAGACATAAATACTAAATTTAAGAATTTTTTTTGAAGCGTTTCACCCCAAGCAAGGCGAGAAGCCACTAGCAAGGGGTTACAGAGAGTTGGAGCTAGAGAAAATAGGAGTGATAGAGGAAATGATGAAGAGAAGGATAGGAGAAAGATCAGGGCATCTGAAGACGTCGATTGACATGGGATTTGAATAGTTGGCGATTATAGCTATCAGGGAAACAAGAAGAGGGGAGGGAGTTCCACAGGCGAGAGGTGCGAGACATGAAGCTATTGGAGTAGAAGAGACGGCTACATTTAACAGTTTCGACAGTGAAAGTGTATGAGCGAGATGTCAGCCTAGTAGAACACTTAAATTCATGAAGTCTGGGAACCAGCGAAAGCAGCTCCTCGGGGCAGTTACCATGAAAGTATTTGTAAAAAAGACAGAGCGAGGCGACGGCACGTCTGTGAGAGAGCAACTGCAGACGAGATGCCAGATCAAGGCCAGTTACGTTGCATACTCTGTATTTTATCAAGGACCTTGAGACAAACATAAGGGGCACCAGACCATATATGGCAGCAATACCCCATGCAAGGGCGAATGGTTGATTTGTAGATTTGAAGGATCGACTCCGGCGAGAAAAATTTCCTGACGCGGCACAGGGAGCCAACTTTCCTTGCAGTGGAACGACATGGCACTACAGATACCTGGGTATTATGCAACTGTTGACCAGAGCAGCCGCTCAAGACACTACGCAAGAGTTAGGGATCCTCACTACCAGTCGGAAACAGCAACCAAAAAACTGTCAACCGCCGTACCCTCAGAATGAAGAGGTAATGCCACAGACTGCACATATCACGGGAAAAACACGGCAGCACTTGTACAGAGGCCAGAGAGAAAGAGAGGGAGAGATCCGGCAACCCCTTCCTAAACAAGAAACAAGGTGAAACTTAATGATTTATTAACCCTTTGCCTGTCCAGGTCATTTTCGTGTCTGCTATCCAAACGTTCCTGCTTGTTTTCAGATTTATAACTACTGCAAGGCAACACGGTTTATTTGGCAAATAGAATGTGCAGATATACCGGGGGTAACAGCAAAATTGTCCAAATCGTGTAACAGCAAAATTATCCATCACACAAAATGTTTAATGTTTAAAAAAAACCACACGCTTAAAAAAAGCCGCACGCTGTGATCGGCTCCAATACCGATAAAATCAAGAAGGCTACTTTCTGACAAATCGACCATGACGAGATTCGAACCCGGATCTCATGGTCAGAAAGCAAAGGTTCTAATCACTCGGCCATACATACATACGTACGAAAGTCTGATAGATAGATAGATACTATAAGTCCGATATAATAATAATAAAAAATACCTTAAATAAATAGATTACGAACAGTCACCTTCTGTCTTTTTTATTCCTCTTTGTTTATTGTTCTTTATCCTCAATAATAGTTTCTCGGTTTTTTTTACTAACCACTTGCGCCTTAGTGGCTTTATCGCCTTGCTTTGGGTGAAATGACTTTTAAAAATAGATAGATGAGACTGAAATAGATAGATAGATAGATAGATAGATAGATAGATAGATAGATAGATAGATAGAGGAGGAGACTGAGATAGGATAGATAGATAGATAGATAGATAGATAGATAGATAGATAGATAGATGAGACAGAGATAGCTCGATATCTCTAGATAGATACAGTCAGATAGATAGATGAGGAAATTGAGATAGATAGAGAGAGAGAGGAGACGGAGGAGACATAGATAGATAGAAAGATACATACATACATACATAATATCTGGTCACTCGTTTTCGAGACTACCCGTGTACTAGGATTGCTAATCCCTATTGCAGATGCCCGCCCAGGCACAATTGTGTTCATTCAAAACCCACAGAGCCCACCATGGGTTCCGTCTAACCAATTTCACTCACAAGGCGTGGTATGGTTTACAGACCAATGACATCAGAAAGTGAACTTCCTGACAAATCAACCATGATGAGATTCGAACCTTGGTGTCATGGTCGGAAAGTGAACGTTCTTAATCACTCAGCAGTTTTGATTGTACAAATATTCGGGCCGGTAGTCGAAAATAAATAGCCTGTTTAAAACAAACGGAATGTTTACTCAAATATGGGTATCCATTAAAAAATAACATTTAAAGTGATAAAAGCAGATAGATAGATAGATAGATAGATAGATAGATAGATAGAACCCGACTGAGTTAGATAGATAGATAGATAGATAGATAGATAGATAGATAGATAGATAGATAGAACCCGATTGAGATAGATAGATAGATAGAACCCGACTGAAATAGATAGAACCCGACTGAGATAGATAGATAGATAGATAAATAGATAGAACCCGACTGAGTTAGTTAGATAGATAGATAGATAGATAGATAGAACCCGATTGAGATAGATAGATAGATAGAACCCGACTGAAATAGATAGAACCCGACTGAGATAGATAGATAGATAGATAGAACTCGACTGAGTTAGATAGATAGATAGAACCCGATTGAGATAGATAGATAGATAGAACCCGACTGAAATAGATAGAACCCGACTGAGATAGATAGATAGATAGATAGATAGAAAGATAGATAGAACCCGACTGAGTTAGATAGATAGAGAGATAGATAGAACCCGACTGAGTTAGATAGATAGATAGATAGATAGATAGATAGATAGATAGATAGATAGAACCCGATTGAGATAGATAGATAGATAGAACCCGACTGAAATAGATAGAACCCGACTGAGATAGATAGATAGATAGATAGATAGATAGATAGATAGATAGATAGATAGATAGATAGATAGATAGAACCCGACTGAGTTAGATAGATAGATAGATAGATAGAACCCGAGTTAGATAGATAGATAGATAGATAGATAGATAGATAGAACCCGACTGAAATAGATAGAACCCGACTGAGATAGATAGATAGATAGATAGATAGATAGATAGATAGATAGATAGATAGATAGAACCCGACTGAGATAGATAGATAGAACCCGACTGAGATAGATAGATAGATAGATAGATAGATAGATAGATAGATAGATAGAACCCGATTGAGATAGATAGATAGAACCCGACTGAGATAGATAGATAGATAGATAGATAGATAGATAGATAGAACCCGACTGAGACAGATAGATAGAACCCGACTGAGATAGATAGATAGATAGATAGATAGATATCGAACGATGGAAAAAGTAATCGGATTTTTGTCAAGAATTTCCACGGTTGTCGTGAATTGTCGTTATAGGAACCTGATATCCACATCAATTCAGGATGTCACGGGTCGCTGTGTTTAGACTAGATACAAAATGAAAATATCACGCCGTAAAGGTAATGTTTTGTTTTTTAAAAGTCAATATAGTCCAGCTGTTCGATTTTATCTATTATTGATTAATTGAATCAATGGCACATCAAATTGAACGAAAGAGAGTGTGAGAGAGAAAAGAATGGAAGAGAAAGAAATAGAGAGAAAGAAAGAGAAGAAAGTGAACGAGAAAGAAATAGAAAAAAAGAAAAAGAAAAAAGAACACAAAAAGAGAGAGAGGGAGGGAGGAGGGAGGAGAAAAAGAAAGTGAGAGAGAGAGAGACAGAAAAGAAGCAAAGAGAGAGAAGTGAAGGAAAGCTAAATAGCTAGATAGCTATATATATATATATATATATATATATATATATATATAAAGAGAGAGAGAAAGAGAAGAAAGAAAGAAAAAAACAGGAAAGAAAGAGAGAAGATGAGTGAGAATAAATAAAAAAGAAAGCAAGGGAGGTAAAGATATTGAATATATATAAAAGAAAAAAGGAAGACAGAGATATTGAAGGAAAGAAGAGAAGAAAGAGAGAAAGAAAGAAAGAAAGAAAAAAAACAGAAGAAAAGAATTGGAGAGAATAACGAGTGAGAATAAATAAATAAAAGAAAGCAAGGGAGATAAAGAATTGGAGTGAGACATCGAAAGAGAATGAGAAAGAAAGAGAGAGAAAGAAAAAGGAAGACAGAAAAAGAGAGAGAGAAGGAAAGAGAGAGAAAGAAAAAGAAAGACAAAGATATTGAAGGAAAGTGAGAAAGCGAGAGAGAGAGAAAGAGAAAACGGAAAAAAAGAGAGGGGAATGACAAGAAAGAAAAAAGAAAGAAAGAAGATAAAGAATGGGAGTGAGACATCGAAAGAGAATGAGAAAGAAAGAGAAAGGAAGACAAAAAGAGAGAGAGAAAACGGAAAAAAGAGAGGGGAATGAGAAAAAAAAAGCGAAAAGAAAAAAAAGAGATAGAAAGGAAAGCGAGAAAGGAAAAAAGAAAGAAAGAAAGAAAAAGGAAAGAAAAAAGAGAGGGAAGAAACGAGAAAAAAGAAAGGAAAAAAAGAAAGAAAGAAAAGAACGAGAAAAAAAGAAAGAAAGAAAGAAAGAAAGAAAGAAGAGGATGAAGGAGAGAAAAAGAGAGTAACAATACTCCAGTTTGATGTATTAAACGAATGTTTTGGCCTGAAATTTTGAGATGGTTACCAAATGCGACAAGTCAAAGGCTTTTTTTACATCATTTCACTCCAAGCAAGGTGATAATGTCACTAAGACTCAAGGAGTTACTGAGAGACAATGAGAATGAAAAGACTTTAATGAAGAGAAAGGACAATAAAAGAACAGGTTTCCGGAAGACAGAAAATGGCGAATGACGTTGCAGTTAAATTTTTGAAGATCGTAGATGGCACGGAAGCAAGAAACTGGAAGAGAGTTTCACAGACAAGAAGTGCGAGAAAAGAAACTTTTTAAGAATCGAACTTATGGTTGCATTTAGCTACTTCAACAGTAAAACGATGAGACCTATCAGCCAATCTAGTAGTACGGTTAAATCTATGCGGTCGACTTATCAAGTTGGAGAACTCATTTGAACTACCATGAAAATATTCATAGAAAAGACAGAGGGAAGCTACGCCACGGTGGCGGGAAGGTGACTGAAGCCGAGATGCCTAGTCATGACCGATAACATTGCCGACCATTCTTTGAGTTCTCTGTCGAGGATCTTAAGATATATGTATAGCAGGACCACCAGACCAGATATAACAACAATAAATGATTGGTAAATGTGTAAGATGGATTCTGACAAGAAGAATTGTCTGGCACTATATAGCGAAGCAAATTTCCTAGCAGTTGATTCATTATAATTACTCCACTTCCCGTCATGAAAAACGCGACATCAAGAAGGCGCAACGCGTGGCTATTCTGGAGGTTAGCATCAGTCATACTGAAAGAAGGCAAGAAAGACTCTCTATGGTAGTTAAAAAAAATTGCAGTTTCGTTTTGGAGCCGTTAAAACTGACAAGTCATTTCTTGCCCCAGTTAATAACCAATTGCCACACGTTGTTGCCGGCTTGCGCGTTCGTCGATCGTAATATTGTTAGACACCCGAAACTTTTTTGCATACCTTGATAAGTCCTTGACCGTATCAAGTTTTCACATGTGAGTCTGTAAATATATTTTTCTGGTTATTATATAGTAATTATAGAAGGGGATCAGTTAATTACTTAACAACAATAGAAAATTGACACCTCATTTTATGTCCGCTAGAATCCTAAACTATTAAACATTCTCATTTAAGTCTTTAAATGTATCTTTTCAAATTATTATATTAATATGTAGCAATTCTAAAAGTGGGGGATCAGTTCATTACTTAACAACAATAGAAAATTGACACCCCACTTTATGTCCGCTAGAATCCTAAACTATTAAACTTTCTCATTTAAGTCTTTAAATGTATCTTTTCAAATTATTATATTAATATGTAGCAATTCTAGAAGGGTGGGGGGTCAGTTCATTACTTAATAACAATAGAAAATTGACACCCCACTTTATGTCCGCTAGAATCCTAAACTATTAAACTTTCTCATTTAAGTCTTTAAATGTATCTTTTCAAATTATCATAATAATATGTAGCAATTCTAGAAGGGGGTGGTCAGTTCATTACTTAATAACAATAGAAAATTGACACCCCACTTTATGTCCGCTAGAATCCTAAACTATTAAACATTCTCATTTAAGTCTTCAAATGTATCTTTTCAAATTATTATATTAATATGTAGCAATTCTAGAAGGGGGGGGGTCAGTTCATTACTTAATAACAATAAAAATATATCATATGTCATATCTAAGCTACAGTTGCTCAACGCTAAAAGTGCAACCATGATAGAGTTCAGAATCGTTTATTCGATATTATTTTCTATTTTTCAGCCATTTTCCTACAGACGTTGCAAGCTTATTGATTCGCTTTTGGCATTTCAATGACAGATGTTCAGATAATCTCCAATGTTTTGTTCCACCTGTTCAAACATTACAACTAGGAAACGCCAAGCTAGAACCATGGAGTTGAACCAATCTCATTTACTCTCTATTCCATTTGCAAAAAAAGATCGTTTGTCTAAGTTATTTACCCCCATAAGTGCTACTTTATGGAAGAGACTCCCGCGTGAATGCTCTCCTTAAACCTACAATTTTAACCGCTTCAATTCAAGGATTGTTCGTTATCTTTCCTCATCATCATAATCTTTATTTGCTACCACCAACTTTTATATTCATATCACATACTTCATTCAGTAACGCTCTACATTGAGTGACTCTGAAGCCTTGTATTGGTTGAATTAGTAAAAAAAAATATCTGACGGTTTGAATTGAAAGAACGTCATTCTGTGTTCGACTGTTCTTTTTCTTTTTCTCTTTTTAGTAAATGCTGAAATCAGCTACCGATCGTGTTTTCCAGTTACTGATCGCTTGACAAAAGATAACGCCATTTTTTTACATATTTACACGTTTAGTTAATGTAAGAAATCCATGAAGAAATCTAGTGAAAATATTTTGTTAACTTCTTTTAGTGTCATATACTTTATCCTGCAATGTGTAGCATCAATCTATATATATTATATATATATATATATATATATATATATATATATATATTCATACATGTTTCATTAAATAATATAGACAAGTGTTGTCTATTTATTTTATGTAAATTCTTTTCATAACGTCTGATAGACAACACTAAATAAATCAATAGACAACACTTGTCTATATTATTTGATGAAACATGTATGAATGAAAAAATGCTGCCTAAATACACACAATATTTTTTAGACATCTAAATTACTATCAAGCATTAAAATCCATTCTTTACATAAATTGCTAAAACCCAATTACAGCCTCTTTCTCTTTACTTCCCTCGCCCTCTTCTTTCTTTTTCCTTTTTCTTTTCTCCCTTCTCCCCTCCCATTTCAGTATATCACTTCCGTTAAGTTAACCGTCTAAATAGGTCATGGTCTGGTCACTCCTCCTCCCCCAATACAAAGTATGCTTGAGAGAGATATGAAATTAATCCCTCCCTATACTCTACCATGTCTCTTTAACTATCCCTTTTACACTCTCTGTTAAATTATAAAAACTTACACTACCCATCAATTTTAATTTCATTTTTCGTTTCATTTCATTTTTTGGAAGTGCTGATGATCCGGCGTCCTTTAAAAGGGCTCTTGTGAAATAAACTATTATAATGGTACCTTAAAGTGGTCTGTTGTTCTTTTTATATATATATATATATATATATATATATATATATATATATATATATATATATATTGATTAACGGTTACAGAATAACCGATCTCGCATTATCATTGTGATACTCTTTAATATTTATAAATCTTTCAGTAATAATCTTTAAAAAATTTCTACTGTTTTGACTTTGAAATTGTTTCCATCAGTTTTTATTGCTTCGCAAATATCGTCTTTCATTGAAGACTGTTTTCCATTCTGACATGTATCTCGTTTAATATTGATTGGATTAATATATGGAGAGGCTGGCAACCATTCTACTAATTTGATGACTTCGAAACCGTTTTTTGGCAAAGAGGACAAGGGTCAGCCTTGCAGAATGAGAAAGAACATTATCTTGCAGGAACATACTCATCAGCTTAAAATTTCTTGATTGTAAAAACAAAAATAAAATAAAATAAAACTGGTCCATAAGTATGCGTAAGAAAATTCTAAATGTGCTTGCGTTTTAAGAGACGGTATTGAAGTACCGTGTTTTTTTTTTTCTCTCATTGACGCGAGACAAGAGTGGCAGAACACGTATAATGCTGGAAACAGACTAGGAGAAATTGGTTGTCATGAATATATCAACTGTTTTATTCGTTACTCGACCTTTAAATTTATAAAAGAAGATAGAACCGATTCGTTTTAATGAAAAGAAAAGGTATTTCTGTGTATTGAATTCTGACCTTTTGGCAGAGGGTCGGACAAGACTGTTTAAATGGCTGTGAAAAGGTCGTCATTGATCTATGATTTTAATGTCAGGATATTTCTGTTAGACGTCGGATATTATAGCTATCGGTTTTTCTGGTTACTGATGCGTCGTAGAATCGCCTTTAATATTGCGTGCAGTTGAATTCTATGCCCTTTGTGACTTTGGAGACCTCGCTTTGTTTGTGCTGTAAATTCTAAGAAGATATACTTCCAATTAGTCAGTTAAGTGCCACACGTGATACACGCTTGGGCGATCATGTATCTTTCGAAATGAGACTTGGCATTTCTTTCTCCGGTAGACTGGTTGCCAACCAAGGTTAAAGAACCCAGTTCTGTTTTTTAACCCATAGCTAGGGGGAGAAGAGATGGATTCATACCTTCCTCTTCTCTCGTTCTTGTAACGGCATTCACCCGGGGTGGGTTGAGCTGGCTCCAATATTGGAGTTTCATGGGAATTTGGAATTCACAAACGGTCCCCACCCGCATGTATAGCACATGAGATTTGGTTATAGTGGTGAAGGTTTCGTGCAGGACCATCCACACTTTTTGAAGGGCCGAATACAGAGACCTGGTGCACTAAGTGCCACAAGGTCCCCAAACGAGTTTTCCTTCTCCTAGACCAGTTGCCATCCAAGGCTATAGAACCCAGTCTGTCCTGCTATTTACCCATAGCGGGGGGGAGAAGAAGAGGATTCACACCTTTCCCAAGGGTATTAGCACGTAAGTGAATGTAATGGATTCGACTGGAGTTCGAACTCGGCTCTCCGATTCCTCAATCCAAGCCGCTATCCATTACTCCACCATGCCTCCTATTCATACCTTTCCCCAAGGGTATTTGTGCGTAAGAGAATATAACGAACTTGGCTAGGATTCGAACCTGGCCTCCGATTTATAATTCCGAGCCGATAAGCATTGCACGACAACGTAAATTCAAAAAATGGAGTATTGCCATATCTAGGCTACAGTTGCTCAATACTCCATATTCCAGCCTTGATAGAGTTCAGAATCGTTTGTTCGATATTATTTTCCCTTTTTCAGCCATTTTTCTACAGACGTCGCAACGCTTATTGACTCTCTATCATTATTTCCATGATAAATGTTCAGATAATCACCACTGTTCTGTTCCACCAGGTCAAACATTTACACCTAGGAAACACCATGCTACAGCTATGGATTTGAACCAACTTCATTTCTTCTGTATTCCAATAGTAAAAAGGAAGGATTACTAAGCTGTTCACCCCCTGAACTGTTACTTTGTGAGACAGAGTCTCGCGGTGGTGCTTCCTTTGAGGCTACAATTTGAATCTCTTCAAATAAACAATCAATCGGTGTCTTTCCTCGTCCTCATAATCCTCATTGGCTACCGCCAACTTTTATATTCATATCACAAACCTCATTCAGTAACGATCTACTTTGAGTGGATTTGGAGCGTTTTATTGGGTGAAATTTAGTAAAAAAAAAAAAAAAATAATAGGCGTCGATTTGAATTAAGAAAATATTATCCAGTGTTCGACCGCTTTTCTCTTTCTGTATGCAAAAATTCACATTTTTGTTATAAGACAATATGAATAAATACTGAAGTAAAACATTTCTGTCGAATCGTCACATCAGAGGACGACATGCGTCGGTAAAGAATTACTACATTTTGTCTTCATTAAAAAGAGGAAAAAGGCTAAATAAGAAAGTGTAGAAAAATAAACGAAGAAAAGGGCAAAACGATCACGACGCACGTCCGTGCAGGCGCACGAACGCATAACCGCACGCGAACAAGAGCACACACAAATACAGAGAATACAGAAGAAAACTTACACCAGTGTTAAATGCGCCTAAAAGGAAAAACTCGAAAAAATATAAGCAGTAAATTTTCTATACCTTCTGAAGAGTGCACAGAGAGGCCCGTCTACGAAACTCTGGAGTCGGGATGCTGAAGGTAACATCAATCAGCTAAGTGACAAATTTTACTCACATTAATCATATATATATATATATATATATATATAAAAGAAATATGTTGAAGGTTAACATCAATCATATTAAAAAGAAGGGGGTGACAAATTTTGGTTGTAATGTGGATTTATTAATTATTATACTTTGTTTTATATATTTATGGACCTGTCTATATAAAATATATATATGGAAAAATAATTAATTGTTTTCTTCAAACATTAAAAGATTGTGGATAATTCTCGATGGACAAACATTAATTGTTTTATGTGTTGCAATCAGAATTGGAATTCTAGAAAGAAAATTCTGATTGAACACACAAACAGAACAATATCGAGAATTTTCCACAGTGATCATGAAGAAAAATTAATTATTTTAATGTTTTAACCTGTCACTAAAACTGAAGACGGTTGCGAGACCAGACCAGAAAACACTAAAACATTAAAATTAAAAAATGCCACACTCTAAATCCACATTACAACCAAAATTCACTGGACACGTGAAAAATAAATTGTTTTGACAAACCAAAAACGTTTGCGGCACCCCACATATATATATATAGTGCGAAATGCCACGGAATGTATTGCAACATACTTTCACAGGTGTATATTCATTCACACACACACACACACACATATGTGTGTGTGTGTGTGTGTGTGTGTGTGTGTGTGTATATACACTTCCATAGTAGATAGATATGAACAATGATAGATAAATATATAGATAGGAAAAACGAAACAGATAGATACAGATAAATAGATAGATGGATAGATAGATATTAACAGATTGAGGTGAACTGAGAAAAGAAATAAAGAAAAAGTATAGCTAACTTGATATAAAACGTTATGGATTGATATAAATTCTTTTGGACTGACATAAAAAATAGATAATGAAAAATATATATATATATATATATATATATATATATATATATATATATATATATATATATATTATAAATTAATTGATTTAAAATATGGTTCTAACCATGTTTCAAAAGTGGAAGCTAAATTTAATTTTGTAATTAAATTAAAGACATTAGTTCCATTTCATCCTCAAGCGAATTTTGGAGTAACTTTTAAAATTACTGGGTTTTAAAGACAGCTAAAATCATAATTCACGTTTCCAAGGTTACAGATAAATCCACTTCCACTGGACAAGGGGTGTCTGCGTGTTCATTATGTCTGTATTTTGATGTATCAGTTATTAGTTACGTTTTGGTGGGGGTAGGGATGTATTTTTCAATGAAATCTAACATCCGTTAAAAGCATGTCGTCTGGATTTTTTTTTTAATTTTATTGTTAACGGCAAAAATTCTTACGGCGTTTTTTCCCCATTCGTATATTTAAAGATTTTTGGGAGTGTTTAGGTTAGAATACTATTTATTTAACTACGATTTGAAATATTTTTACTTTTAATTTTTAATATACTATATTTCTTTTAAGAACAATTAAATGTAATTAGAATCCCTTACAGTATGAAGAATTATTATCACATCAAGTATAAATATGTAAATTATTGGGTTATAAATTTTTTTATATTTAAATATTATTTAAGTAATAATTATGACAATGACGGCAAAATTAGCTACTTAACTTCACTGATTTAGTAAACTTTTATTTTTTTATATAAACCTAGTAATATATTGTTTCTCATGTAAGTACAAAGGACATGGGTCATTCAAAAGCTTACATCTCCTAGCAATATTACGTATTAATTTCATTTTACTGTATGTGTTTTATTGGGTTCTTTTAATTGCGTGTAGTATTAAGAGGGAGGCCTTTAGGTATGGAAACGTTTTATTTAATTACAATTTAAAAGATGTTTAGGTTAGAATTCATTTTATTTAACTACAATTTTAATTACAACTTTAAAATATTTTAATTGTTAGTTTTAATAAACTATATTTCATTTAATAGAAGTAAATGTATTAGAATTACTTACAGTAAGTAAAATTATTTTTCTATATCAAGTACATGTATCTTACAGTTTTTAAAATTTTATATCTAAATATTATTTAAGTAAAATTTTTGGAACTTAGGGCAAAAATAGCTAATTAATTTCTTTGATTTAGTAAACTTTATTTATTTATTTATTTAATTACAATTTAAAAGAAGTTTAGGCTAGAATTCATTTTAATTAACTACAATTTTAATTACAACTTTAAAATATTTTAATTGTTAGTTTTAATAAACTATATTTCATTTAATAGAAGTAAATGTATTAGAATTACTTACAGTAAGTAAAATTATTTTTCTATATCAAGTATATGTCTATTACGATTTTTAAAATTTTATATTTAAATATTATTTAAGTAAAATTTTTGGTTCTTACGGCAAAAATAGCTAATTCATTTCTCTGATTTAGTAAACTTTTTATTTATTTATTTATTTTATTTTTTTATATATATATATATATATATATATATATATATATATATATATATATATATATAAACTTAGTAATATATAGTTTCACATGTATGTACAAAGGACATGGGTCAGTCAATGGCCTACATCTTCTGGCTTTTTGTCATAATTTCATTTTTCAGTAGGTGTTTTATTGGATTCATTTAAGTGCCGGTAGTACTTTTTGAGAGGTGTTTAGGTTAGAATACGTTTTATTTAACTTCAATTTTAAAAGATGGTTAGGTTAGAATTCGTATTAACTACAATTTTAAATAGAACTTTAAAATATTTTCACTGTTATTTTAATAGACTAGTTTTTTATGAAAAAACAAGTAAATGTAATAGAATTACTTACAGTATATAAAATTAATTTTTCATGTTAAATATAAGTATGCATATTACTTGGTCGCACTTTTTTTTCATTTATTTTTATTTTTAAATATTATTTAAGGAAAATTTTTGACAATGACGGCATAAAATAGCTATTTCATTTCTCTGATTCAGTAAATTTTTGTTTTTTATAAACTTAGTAATATATAGTTTCTCATGTATGCACAAAGGACATGGGTCATTTAATGACCTACATATTCTAGCTTTTCTTATTAACTTTCATTTTACTGCAGGTGTTTTATTTGATTCTTTTAGGTGCCAGAAGTATCTCGATAGAGATGTTCGATTTTTATATTTATTTATCCTAAATGAACTTTGATGTTGGTTGAATCTTTTTTTGAACTTATGGCTAGTGCAACCTATATATATTTTTATGCTTTCGGGACTTTCAATCGAAGAGATATTGCATTGGTATACTAATGATTCAGTGCGACATTTATTTTGTCGAGGGAAATTATGAGGGTTTCTACAGTTACATAATTTTTGTTTATTTTCATCAGTTTTTATTTTTATTTTTCCATTGTCTAAATTTTTGGGGTTTTGGTATAAGTGTTTATTTAAGATATTAGCATTATGGTTCTTAATAATTTTTTCTAAGTTTTCTGTACAGCTGTAACTCAATTTTAGTGGGTTTTTATTGAAAATAGTACTTAGTTTACTTTCACTAGGAAAATGCTTGACTATTAATGCGAGGAATTTTTGTCCTAATTTGTTCTTTACCATTTGGTTATATGGGGGCGTATACCAAATTATTTTTCTACATCTGTTTTTTTCTATGCTTTTCATTTTCATTTTTTATATAAGTTAGTTTTGGGTTTTTGTATCCACTCACTTTTAGAGCCTTATTATAGGAATTGATATGCTCATCGAAAATCTTGTCATTTGCTGAATTTGTACTAATTCGTTTACTGATAGATAACGGTATATGTTTAATTATAGATGGGGGGTGATTTGATTAAGGGTGTATATATAAAGGATTGGTATTGTTTTTTTTATAAGGTGTGTATGTATTTTTATTTAAATCTAATGTTATATCTAGGAAGTTCACTTTTTTAATTTAGTGCTAACCGTAAATTAAGCCCATGCTTTTAAATTCTTTATATAATAACTTTCTAATTCTATCTATTTTGAAGTTGGTTGAGTTTCTAATAACCATAAGGCCATCGTCTCTGTACAAACCAATGTCAGTTATATTAATATCACGGTGGGCTGTAAGGTTGTATAATATAAAAAGACCAATGAGATCAGAAGACTCAGCTGAGTCTAGTGATCCCATTGTGATGTCGAAGTTGTCATATGAATTCTTAATCCATTGCTCACCTTTATGTACAAGTACCGTGTTTTCGCATATAGAATAATGTTCTTTTCTTCATCTGTAATATCTGTATAGTTGGTGGCAAAGTCCAACGCATTCAAAAATAGTTCTTTAGATATTGATTGGTAATAATTATCAATGTCAAACTGCATTAGTGTACAGTTGTTTTTTTCTTTTTAAGTGAGTAAACCAGTTTATCACTTCCTTGGTATTAATCCAAAGTTTCAGGCTTATTTTTTCTTTAATTTGTTTATTTACCCTTTCAAGGATCATTTTACTTATTTTTCCGACATCGGAATATCTAATAACTGATACATTAAAATATAGACATAATGAACTCCCAAGCACCCCTTGTCTAGTGAAGTGGATTTATCTGTAACCTTGGAAACATGAATTATGATTTTAGCTGTGTCTTTAAAACCCAGTAATTTTAAAAGTTACTCCAAAATTCGCTTGAGGATGCAATGGAACTAATGTCTTTAATTTAATTACAAAATTAAATTCGGGGCTTTCAGCTTCCATTTTTGAAACATGGTTAGAACTGTGTAGCGAAAAAAAAACATATTTTAAATCAATTAATTTATAATATTAATGCTCTGTAAATTTACATTGAGCACTATTTTGTAAAAATAATGATACCTATAAGAACACCAGATTATATATCTTACTGCTCTTTCTTTTTATTTACACACACACACACACACACACACACACACACACACACACACACACACACACACACACACACACATATATATATATATATATAAAGTGAGAGAGAAATTAAAAGAAAGAAAAATAAATCTATATCAGATAAAATTCGGGATTGATTGATATTAATAGATTGATATAGATAGTTTTGGATAGATTTGAAAAAATGAAAATCGATAGAAAGAAAGAAAGAAAGGAAAAAATGTTGATATCTATCTATCTATCTCTTTATAGATAGATTGATAGACAGACAGACAAATATTAACAGAACGAGATGAACGGAAAGAAAGAAAGAAAAAATAAATAAATCGATATAGAATAAACTGGTATAAATTTATATGCATAGAATCTATACAGCCTAGATTGATAATGATTCTTTTGAACATTTGTTAGATATGGACACATACGTTCGACTAGATTTTATCTGCTGTCTTCACAATATCGCAACGTTGTCATGGAATTAAATCAAAATGGAAAAAAAAAAAAGAAATCGATAGAAGATCACTAAAATGATTTTCGATAAATGCCTAACTTTTGAGTAAACAATGGCCTTTACTGGATGAGTCAAAAAAAATATCAGGGTGTCGAAAGATAGATGAAATTCAGTAGCTATCGCCCCTTACCCACCAACAACAACTTCCCATTGCACTAAGTGGCGAGAGGCACAAATAAAATGAGGTTGTAGAGTGGGGAATAATTAATCACTCTATCAAGGCTGGATTGTGAGGATTGGGCAACTCCAGTATGGTGTGATGTAATGGTCAACAACTCGGATTCGTTACATTCACTTACGCGCAAATATCCTTGGGAAAGGTATGAATCCATCTCTTCTCCCCCCGACTATGGGTTAAATAGCAAGACAGACTGGGTTCTTTAACCTTGGTTGGCAACCAGTCTAGCGCAGAAGGAAACGGCAACCTACTGCGGGTTACTCAGGAATCGAAAGAGACATGGCAGCTCAAGTGTGTATCACGTATGGCACTTGATTGTCTTCATTTTGGGTCTGATCTGGCTCTTGTATATATATAAAGCATAGCAGATGTCAGATACTGACGCGATACAAGTAACCTATCGTCTTTAACGCTGGATCCCATATGTGAATTCCACTAGCCGTTCAAGGCAAGAAGCCCCTTTGACAGAACAACCATTCATCATATTGCGGCTTTGTAGTATTGTGGGATGAAACTACCCCTAGCGCAGCCTATTCTGTATTCAGTTTCCTTATCACTGATAATTATTTTTGTTGAGGCTTACAGCCACATCACGTTGAAAAACCGGTTCCCGTACGATCATCGAAGTTAAGCAATGTTGAGCCTGGTCAGTACCTAAAAGGGAGACACTTTTTGGAAATACAAGCTGCTGTAAGCTTGGATTTGCGGGTGGTGTAATGGATAATAGGTTGGAGAGCCGAGTTACAATTCCTGTTTGATACGTTATATTTACTAACACGCAGATACTATTGGGAAATGTATAATGTTCTTCTCCCCCTAGCTATGGGTTAATTATTAAGACAAACGTTGCTAACTGCTATGATGGATAAGAATTGGTGGAGAGCCATAATTGCCACGTACTGAGGGGAAACGGGTATATATATATATATATATATATATATATTTTTAGGAATTTGTAGGTCTGATGAATTGGATCGTATTTACGATTCCAATGAAATAAATTATGACGATGGAATATTAGTGTTTAAGCCATTTTATTTTTATTATATATATATATATATATATATATATATATATATATATATATATATATATATATGAGAAAAGAAACTCTTAGAGTAGAAATGAGCCAATGCAACAGTAAAACTGTGGTATATATATATACGTTCGCATTCTGACCATGAGATCCGAGTTCGAATTTCACTATGGTCGGTTTGTCAGGTCGATCGCAGTGTGCGGCACCTTTGGAAATACCTTGGGTAGACGGAACCCTTGGGGCCGGCGATAGCTGTGCTAGCACGTAGTCATTGTGGCCGAGGGGTTGAGCGTGCTAGCCTTGTTCAAATTGTTGATCGCGCTTAGATAACACGCTCTCTCCTAAAAACTGTAACTAAGATCTGCTCAGCATAGTTGCAGTGGGATCTGTGGCTGTTGAATAAACACAAATGCGCCTGAGCAAGCTTCTTCAATAGGGATTTGCTAGCTGCCCTAGTAGCCGAGTATCCTTGAATAAGAGTGCTCAGCTATACACACACACACACACACACACACACACACACATATATATATATATATATATATATATATATATATATATATATAATCGTTTCCTCCAGGCAACCAGGCAAGACGAGAATGCCGCTAGAATGCAGAGGGTTTCCTGGATTATTTTAAGGTTGAACGTGATAAAAGGAAGAAGTCACTTCGTATTATGACAAGCAATGTCCCAGAGAGAGGAGTTTGTCATCTTGAACGGTTAGTGGCGAAGAAACTGAATTCAACGTCTTTTTGCGCGAAGTCTGTTTTCCGGCAGGAAATGTTTCTGTTGGATTCTGGGAGAATTTTTTTTATTTGTATTTTTTTAAACAACGTTCGATTGTTATTTTTTTAATTTTATTTATGGTATTCATTATTATTATTATATATTTTTATTCTAATTAATTAATTAATTAATTAATAATAATGATAATAATGTCCCTACAAGTTATCAGGGAAGCAAGAAATCGGAAGGGAGATCTACAGGTGGGAAGTGTGAGAAAAGAAACTCTTAGCGTAGAACTGAGCCAATACCACAGTAAAACTGTGGGACCTAACTGCCAATCTAGTAGTACGCTTAAATTCATCGCAACAGGGACAACAGGAAAAATGCTTGTCCGAACAGTTAGCATTAAAATATTTATTGCCAATACATTGGATTCAATTGTATCTTAACAAAATTTCTAAGGCGTAAACTAGTTTTCAAAGTTCTCCATCATTTACGTTAGCATTGTAATTTTTTCACATTTGAAGTGAAATATTTCTCTATTATCGGTAACTCGATTTTCAGGACTTCAATTGTCCGGCGGTTTTGAATTATCCAAATACATTTTTTAAAACCCTATACCAAGATATCCGGATAATCGAAGAACTACAATATGAACTTCTAAAGAAACGAAAGAAAAAAAAAAAAAAAAAACATCTGAAGTTTTTTTTCCCCTGTCAAATGGATGCATGACAACTCAATACCGCCGACTCAACACTGCCGATTGAGCACCGGGACAACTCAGGACCGAGACAACTCAGCACCAGAAAACAAGATGAATGAAAGTAATTTATAAAGGATTAAAACCTTTATTGGGGAAAGATTCCATGGGTCGTCGTTTGATTAAAAAACAAATTAGATAAAAAATTGTTGCGGGCTCAAAAAAAAAAAAATGATATTCATTTAAACGTACGATACACAAAATTTAACTGTAATTACTTATCATGGAATGAAAGTTAGAAAGTTCTTCTCTTTGACTTTCAGTGAGGAAGAGAGAAAGTGGAATTGGGAGAATGATCAAACCGAATTCGCTGTTGTTTGATGAAAAAGACAAGACGCCGAGGTTGACTCGTGTCTCTTTACCGCTGTTAGTCCTTCTACCGAGTTTAATGAATGTTTGTTTTTTTATGGTCTTGTGTAGGCTCCAGAGGCCTGTGTTTATTTACTGGTGGGATCTGATTTTATTTGACTAAGTTGAAAATTGGAAGCATGTTTTAAAGCCGGAAGGCTGCGCGAAGCCATAGCGCGTTATGTTTAATTTTGTCATTTGCTTCTTCAGTTTGATGCTGTTTACTTCCGCCCGCACTACACCTTAATTAGTGATTATTTTTCTTCAAATAAGGCATTTGAAAAGACATTATATAAATCATGGACAAGTCTTTTTGTTTTTAATTATTTTTAATAAAGTAAATCGTAAAAAATTACTTTTTAGGAAAGTATAAGTTGATATATAAAAATTAAGAATTTCGATTTAATTTATTAAAAATAGTTAAAAACAAAAAAAAAATGCGCTTCATTTTGTTTTGCATTTTTTTATTTACTTTTTAAAAAATAATAAGTCTGTTTTATTGAGTTATTTTTATTAAATTATTTTATTTAAAAAAAAAAACTGGTTCATATTTTACATAATGCATTTTCAAATGGCTTATTTGAATAAAATTATTCACTAATTAAGGTTTTCATATTTAATAAATTACGTTTAGTAGGTGAGGAAAAACGTTACTATTTTCTGGCTCTGAGTTGCCTCGGTCCTGAGTTGTCCTGGCGCTCAGTAGGAAGTGTTGAGTCGGCGGAGTTAAGTTATCCCTTCCCGTGTCAAATCTTGTTCGACCACCAATAACAATATCAAGAAAGCAATAAAAACATCTCCCTCAAAATGTTTATTTGCCATTATTTTGTTCTCCTTGTTTCCTTTACTTGTCTTGCGTCAGATCGAAATATTTCTCATGCTTTCTCTCATTTGATTGTAGTTTAATTTCAATTTGCAAACTGTCAGCGACATGTTTTGATTCTTTCAAGAACGTGTTAATTCGATTTCGCGGCCTCTGTAGAGTTTTTTGATTAGCATTTCAACGCTGTCCACCTCAAGATTAATATTGGCATCTACTACTGTACTGATGCGGCATTCACCCTGGGCGGATTGAGCAGGCTTCTTCCTGTTATGTGAAGAAGATTCTTGGGATAAATTACAGAAGTAGGGTACCCAGGCCTACTCGGATAACGTTCTTGCTTGCCGCGGGTTCCCACAGACGCAGAGACAGGAACGACCAGAAGCCGGCGGTTACCGATGCAGACGCTCCTTGGATTTTCACCAGAGCCCTTGTTAGCCGGCGTGTGTGTCAGACCTGTCCGCCTTGGGTGGCCCTACCAGGAACGAAGTTCCGGCGGCATAGCTCTGACACTACCGTTTACACCCCCCCCACCGACTGTGAGGTAAGGGTTGGACTTTGGGGCTTACAGTACCAGGTGTTCCCAAGCGGTCCCCCATCTAAGTACTGACCTGGCTCTACGCTGCTTAACTTCGGTGATCGTACGAGAACCGGTGTTTCAGCGTGATTTGACCGTAAGCTAATATATTGGCATCTCGTGTATTGTGATTATATAGCGGCTATGAATGGGAGGACAAGCGTTCTGAAGAAGCAAATGGATGACATGGGTATGCATCTGAAAGAGGATATGTAGTTAATAGCGCTTCTAATTTCATTTATGATCTTTGCCGTCAGATTACATTTCTGAATATCCTGTAGGAACAATTTAATACAACCGAGATTTGATACAAATGATATTCACTTGTAATTCTGGTTGACAAAGGAGGCTGCAATTGGAAATCTGTATCTGCTTTAGTCCGGTCCTCTGCTGAATCCGTGTCACACAAATTCGACTTATTGCGAGGAAATAAGAGTTAGGATTTATCATTAAGTTTCCTTTGTATTTCTTTGTAATTGATGGTCATATGTGCACCATATTTCACTATCCCTCAGGCACCTCGAGGTGGTGTAATGGTTAACAAGCTATCTAACTTTTTTTTTTATTTTATTTTTTTAATCGTTTCACCCCAAGCAAAACGGGAAGCCACGAGGACGCAAGGGGTTACAGAAAATTTGGAGCAAGATCAGATAGGAGTGATAGAAGAAAGGATGAGGAGAAGGGTAGTGGATAGATCAAGGCAACTGGAGATGTCGATTGACATTACATTTGAATAGTTGGAGATTATAGCTCTCAGGGAAACTGGAATAGGGAAGGGAGTTCCACAGGCGGGAGGTGCGAGAAGCTATTGGAGTAGAAGAGACGGCTACATTTAGGAGTTTCGACAGTGAAGGGGTGAGAGCGGGATGCCAGCCTCGTAAGGCGCTTGAACTCATGAAGTCTGGGAACCAGCGAATGCAGTTCCTCGGAGCAATTGTCATGAAAGTATTTATAAAACAGACAGAGAGAGGCGACGGCGCGTCTGTGAGAAAGTGACTGTAGACGAGATGCCAGAGCAGGGCCAATTATAGTGCATATCCACCTCTGGAGCCTATCAAGAACCCCGAGGCAAACAGAAGGGGCTCCAGACCATATATGGCAGCAATACTCCATGCAAGGACGAATTGTTGATTTGTAGATCTGGAGGATCGATTCGGGGAGAAAATTTCCTGGCGCGGAACAGGGGCCAACTTTCCTTGCGGTGGACGAAGCAATTGACTCAATGTATTTGTTCCATCTCAGGTCAGCAGTCAACGTGAGACCGAGCAGCTCGAGAAGTTGAGCGTCAGACATTCTAATGGTGGGCAGGGAAGGATCTCTGTGGTGATTAATAGAGAGCAGTTTTGTTTTTGAAGCATTCTCGATCCTCATTGGGTGCCCTCTACTTTCGGCCTTGTGCCACATCTAAGCTAAGCTTGGAAAATCACTATATCGCTATCCCTTAATATCTTGCAGGAGAATACCATTTTCTGTCAGTTTTATTTCAGAAGACTTTCTCACAAAAGCCTTCAAATGGTAGAAATCTCTTGAATTTTGCATTCGCGATAACGAATGATTTTAAATATCGTCTGTTCGACGTGAGCAAAACCAAATATTGCCACAAATCTTATTAAATAGTAATTTGCTTCTGATCGTTCAGCGAGACTGTTTCAAAACGAGATCTAAGCCAAGATCAATGAATTGATTTTGTGCATCAGCTGTCAAATAATCTACTTTCTTTGACCTTATCGCTGGCTTTCTGATCATAATAATACGAAAATTCAAACAACGTATAATAAAAGATTATATGAACACAAAAGGGATCTTTTACAAAACAACACATTAAATGCATTAATTGCCCACCGTAACGAGACTGATAATACTTGACTGAAAAAAAAAGTGTTACTCCGATTAAAAGATAAAACAATTTGCTAAGGAGAAAATGTTTAGAAAGTGCTTTAATTGCTAGATTATCCACAGAAATTTGTGTCCAAGTTTTTATATAAATTATATTATTATCCTATAGCTAACTAGCTAGCTAGCTAGTTAGATAGATATATAAATAATAAATATAGATAGATAATGAACATAGATAGATAGATAGATAGATAGATATGAACAGGCTGAGAAAAACACTCTGTTATAGATAGATGAATAGATAGATAGATAATGAATATAGATATATACATAGATAATTAACTGTTGTAGAGTAGCTAGCACTCCTTCAGCACTCTACCAGGTGACCTGGCTCATAGCCTTAAATAGTCTACGATTAAGAACTTCAACAGTGGATTAATAATTTGATACTAAGCTGATTAATATTCGGACTGATCTTACTTTGTTTGGCTATACAGCATTTGACTGTAACTTGTCTTGTTACTTATTTTGTAACTTATTGTTCTGTGTTTTTTGTATGTATCCATCAATAAATACATTAAGTAGTCATTCTTCTCTGTGTATCATTCACCTTGACGATATATGTACATAGATAGATATGCACAGATAGATAGATAATGAACATAGATAGATAGATAGATAATGAACATAGATAGATAGATAGATAGATAATGAAGATAGATAGATAGATAGATAGATAGATAATGAAGATAGATAGAGAGATAGATAAATAGATAGATAATGAAGATAGACAGATAGATAGATAGATAGATTATGAACATAAATAGAGAGATAGATAAATAGATAGATAGATAATGAAAATAGATAGATAATGAAGATAGACAGATAGATAGATAGATAGATAGATAGATTATGAACATAGATAGAGAGATAGATAAATAGATAGATAGATAATGAAAATAGATAGATAATGAAGATAGATAGATAGAGAGATAGATAAATAGATAGATAGATAATGAAGATAGATAGATAGATACATAGACAATGAATATAGATAGATAGATAATGAAGATAGATAGATAGAGAGATAGATAGATAAATAGATAGATAGATAATGAAGATAGATAGATAGATAGATAGATAGATAGATAGGCTAGACCATTATATAATGTACTCATCCTTATAATCTGTACTTACTTCGTCTTTACTTCTACGTCCGCACAACGATCAAATTTAGAAATAGTCTAACTTGGGCGGCTCTTGAGCCTTGTATTAGATGAAACTTTACTAAAAATAAATAAAGAAAGAAAGAAAAAAAGAAAGAGTGTAAAATATTAGTTGTTAACGTCCTTTGCTACAATTTGTTTTTGCAGAAAATATCTTATGCACCTCTGTCATGGATTCCCCAACATTTCCTTGGCAACCGCATCCTTCGTCTCACAGAGCACCCTCCCAGTGCACCCGCTTCCTAAACCCATACAAAAAAACACTTCTTTGTATTAGGTATACTGTAAATTCAAAACAACTAATCTGATGTCAGACGAACACCTATATCGCTACATTGTTTTTCTATGTGCCGTGTCCCTTCGAGACGTGGTTGATAATGGCTCTCCACAATTTTCGTGTTTCTTAATACATAAATTTAGTTTCTAGTCAATCAATAAACGGACAACACTAGGCCAATTTCGGGTCATCTGCCCAAATATATATATATAAAAAAAACTCTTCCTAACTTGAAAATCAGGATGTTGGCGATCATGTTTCTCCACAACTTCCTGTCCTTTATAGCTTTAGGTAAGTCTTCTCTTTTTGGTATCTCTCCTAATCCCTGTTCGGTTAACCATTTTTAAACAAGCTCATCGGTAAGGATATTAGATGCTCTCTTCTGTTTCTTTTGCCTTCAATATGTCCTTGTGAGCGTTAAATTCTCCAAGCTCTCTTTCCTCATTATGTGACATAAATATTTCAAGTGTCTGTCTCTGTTTCGAAGTATAAGAATCCATTTTGTTTTCATTTTCCCTAAGATTTAGTCTTTGCTCACCTGTTCCATCATTGGTATACTCAGCACCCTTCATTAATATGGTGCCAAGTCATTTTATATTCTGTGAAGTGATTGTCCAGCATTCACTAACAGAGAAAGTCTGATATTACATAAGAGTTCAACACTTTTCTTTGTTTCAAACGAAATTTTCCTTTTTCTTCATATTTTGCTTAGTTTTGGGAGGCATATCTATTGATGGACAGCACCAGGCCAGTTTGGGGTAATCTGGCAAAATGGAAAGACACTGCCTACATTGAATATCAGGACGTTGGCGATCATGTTTCTCCACAACTTCCTGTCCTTTGTAGCCATTAGTAAAGTTTGTCTTTTTGCTATCTCACCTAATCCCTGTTCTGCCAAGCATTTGCACAAGCTTCTTCTTCTTCTTCTTCTTCTTCTTCTTCTTCTTCTTCTTCTTCTTCTTCTTCTATGTGTAATGTCTCTTTAGGACAGTGGCGATCATGGCTTTCCACAATTTCCTGTCCTTTTTAGCCGTTAGTAAAGTTTGTGTTTTTGCTATCTCTCTTAATTTCTGTCCTGTCAACCATTTGCACAAGCTCTTTCTTCTTCTTCTACAAGTGTGTTTTATTGAATTACTAGCAGTAGAGCCCGGCGTTGCCCGGGGATGTAACAGTAAGAGATAGATCAAGTATCGATCATCATAAAGACTGAAAAATAAAATTGACAAAGATTATTGTTTAAGGTTGACGGACACGCATGTCTTAATTAGTCTTTTTTTTTCTTTTTTTTTTTTTACGAATTAGTCAAACTCAAACTCAAACAAAAACATTGTTTTCAATCGTTATGAGTCTACCTATAGAATTTTATTATAAACAATTGTCTTGTAAATGGAATTTTTAAAGCATTCTGAATGTAAAAATAAAGAAAAAAGTGTGCAAGACAATAAGAAACACTACCTGCCAAAAAAAAGTGAAGTTTTGTTGAAATTGGTTGAAAAATGTAGGAAATCCGATCCCATATATAAACGAACACACACACACACAAACAACCCAGGTTTTATAATAAGTATAACTCGATATGAGTTGTCCCCTTTCATTCTCGCGATGCCTCTTAATCGTGTTTTCAAATTGATTTTGCGCAAAAACAATTGTGTTTTTCCCATTTTTGGCGCTGTCAGAACCACCGCAAGGTAATTTTACGTAGTCCTGTGAAGTTTTGTTGAAATCGGTTGAAAAATGTAGGAAATCCAATACAATATATAAAAGAACAGACACACACACACAACCTGGGTTTTATAATAAGTATGATTTTTAATTTTTAATTAAAAGCAAAAACCGGTTCATATTTTACAAAATGCCTTTTGAAATGCTTTATTTGAAGAAAAATATTCACCAATTAAGGTTTTAATCCTTAATAAATAACTTTTATTCGGTCATAAAAAAGTTATGTTTTTCTGGTGCTGAGTTGCCTCGGTCCTGAGTTATCTCACTCCTGAGATGTCCCGGCGTTCAGTCGGCCGTGTTGAGTCGGCGGTGTTGAGTCGGCCGTGTTGAGTTGGCGGTATTGAGTCGGCGGTGTTGAGTTGTCCTGCACTTTTTCATGCGGTGAAATTGTTAAATTTTCTGTTACTTCGACATGACCATTATTTGCAGAAATTTTATTGCTTGAGAATTCTCAAACATATATCTTCGAATGATATAAGATTAGATTACTATCTAGAGAGACTGCAAGCAATTCTATTAATATAGTGGCTTCGAAATATTTCTAGTAAACTGTGCGTTATCCAATGTGCAGACACATTATATTGTATGGAGAAATTCATTCGTATAAACACCATGGTTCTGACATGTGCCTCGTAGCATATATCTTATCCAAGAATTTGAAATGATTATTTACATTGATCCTGATAGCATCATCCAGTTTGGAGGTAGCTGAAATTCTACTGCTTGCAACACTAACCCCAAATACTACAACACCTCCAGTCGTGTGTTGTGTTCCGTGTCGTCACTGGCTTCAGCCCCTAGGACGTCGGCGCCACTTCATAGAGGGCACAACGAAAGTCGGTTTCATTCTTTTATTCGTTTTATTATACGAGGGGGGACAGACGTGGTAGCATGGATTCTAGGAGGCAGCGGGAAGAAGATAACACATGCTCGCTGGTTCACAGTGTCGCTCCACGTGCGGTCTTAGCCTCAAACCTAGTGTAGTAGGCATATCGACACTTCAAAATTCCTCTGCCGACTTGGCGCCATTTTGGCCTTAAATCCGAAACTTAATCAAAGGCAATCCATCACTATCAGAATAGCATGCTCACGTGATATTCTGATCAATCGCTAACCATCCTGGCCCAGCCTCTGCATTCTGTAACACGCGTTAGCTGAAGGAAGTTGTCAAGCTTTATCTCAGTTATCAGGTCAATCCAATGTACCACACAATTAATCTCTAAAAATTATTGTTGGGAAAGCAATTTATATGTACTCCAACACGACACCTGGATGGAAGTGTTGTATATATATTATTATTTTGGGGGACATTTTGTCTTTATAACATTTTTTTTAATTCGTTTTTATTCTGATTACTGCTTTCCATAGATTGATAGTGCAGACCTCTCGCCATTGTTACATGTTTGATTTTTTAAATACCCGGCTGTTGTATAAGACTTGACGTATTTTGCTTAAATTTAAATTTGCAATTGAAATTATTATTTACGATGGGCTTGAGATCATTCGCTGAATATTGCAATCAGGAAATAAAAATGAGAAAGCCTACGAATAAAAAGAAAAAAAAACAAACTCGTTCTCTTTGTCAGTTTTTCCTTCAGTTAGAATCAAACATTACCGTTCATTATCGATTAATTCCAGTGTATTTTACACAAATTTATTAAACCAGTTCTTTCAACATTTCCGCATAAAGTCATTTCGAGCCAACTGTCCAACATACGAACATTCAAGCGTAGAGATAATTTAGCACCAAAACAGCCTGTATCTAGAAGGTTATCATAATCATATAAATGTATCTAATGATCGTCGGGATGTTTTTTTAAGAAGATGAGCCCCTCAAAGTAGAGGTGTTACCGTTAAAATATTTATAATGAATGAGGTGTGTGATTGAAATAAAGAGGTGGTAGGAAGTAAAGCTATGAGGATAAGATGATAGATAACGACTGACATTTGACATGAAGAGGTCAAGATTAAAAGGTTCATGGGAGCATTCACGCGGGAGCCTCTTTCGCAAAATGGCAGTTATTGGGGGAAAAGACGTTTGAGTGGAACTTCGGATATTTGAAGCACGGGGAAAATAAGAGCATATGTGGCCTGACGATTGCATATAGCATGAAACAGACTGTTGCCTCTAAGTGTTGACTTCTATGTTCACTTTTATATATATATATATATATATATATATATATATATATATATAGTTAGGAGGAGACAAATTCTATTCTATACTTTAATTTAGATGGGTGATCATTTTGGGAATACCAGGTCTAAGCTTGGATGTACAGTTGATGTCATGTATTATGGCTGACACTAATACACTTCAGAAAGCTACAAATCTGCCTCTTCTCCCCAAGCTATGGATTAATTAGTAAGACGTTTATCAATAAACCATTATTATCTTTAAAAAAATCTTACAATCTAATATTTTATGGCTTTAAATAACCTACAAAGCTTACAGCACCTGGAATTCTCAGGTGGTCACCTATCAAGGTACTGACCAGGATTAACTTCGGTGACCGTACGGGAACCCGTGTTCCAGCGTGATATGCTCGTAAGCCCAGATCTATACATAGGAAATATAATAATATCTAATAGTTTTTTTGAAATAATGATTTAGTGATATAAGTCTTACTAATTAACCCATAGCTGGGGGAGAATATGTGGATTCATATCTTTCTCAAGGTTATTTGTGTGTAAGTGAATAAAAGCTCCCCGATTAACAATTATCCATTGCACCACCCACATATCCAAGCTTACAGCACCTGGTATTCCCAAGCGGTCACCCATCTAGGTACTGAGCAAGCTCAACGTTGCTTAACTAAGTCTGATGGAGAGGGAAACCGTTCATCATAACTGGAGAGAACTAGATTTTTGCCAGTTTATTTTATCCCGAAATTTATTAAACTAGGCACAACCGTAATGCGTGACATAATTTAGATTCGATTGTTCAACACGTGACCATTCAAGCGCAAGGTAAATTAAATTGGATCTGTCACGAGAACGCTGTCAAAATAGGGCGAGGAGGAGACTTTCTCTTCCCCTTGTCGAACTCTCTGCCTCCGGGCAGAGAGGAACCCAGACGAGGCTATGACGAAGGGCAGAGTCTCGTTTGGAGAAGTAAACAAACCCGACCTTGTGTATAAAAGGCCTACGGGCAATTTTTACCCGAACCTACGGGCTTGGAACGCTCCACGTTAAAAACTGGCCTTGTGCCACACCTTGTGGGGAGGTTGGTAAATAGAGAGAATATGGTCAAAACCAACTTTCTCGCATGATCATTTCGATATCATGTTGTGTTGTTAACCTTTGGTATTCATTATTATTATTATTATTATTTCCCTTTCCATTACATTCTTTTTCAACGTCTCCGTTGCATTATCCTTATTGTTAATTTCATTCAAAGTTGTTTTCTGTTGCCATAGCAGGATATGACAACACAACTATGAAATTCAAACACACATTATTCTGGGATCAGAGTCACCTTCAGTGGCCGGATAAACATTTTGGTACAGAAAATGAAGTCACATACAGAGTGATAAAGGTTAAGGATATTTCTCGAGCTGATAGAGCTTCGATGGTGATAACGTCCCTTTCCATAATTGACATTGCAATATATATATATATATATATATATATATATATATATATATATATATATATATATATATATATATATATATATATATATATCGGTTGTGGATTCTTATTGTGCATTGTATATATTGTCAGCCACAGACAGACTGTTTTACTTCAAACCGGAAACCTGACTGATTCGGCAACAGGCGGAGATTTTTCCCTAAGCCATCGGCACACGGTTCAAAGAAAGGCCAATTTTTACGTACTTATATATATATATATATATATATATATATATATATATATATATAAAGACAAAAGGAAAACTTATCTTAGCCAACGCGTTTCGTCCCCTGAGAGACTTTATGAAATCAAATGATGCAAGGATTTTATTTCATAACAAGTATTTATATGCAAGAACAAATATGCTATTAGTTTTGCAAAATTTTAAAATTTAACACCGTTAATCAGGTTAAACAAAAACTCAGGCAAGCTACGAATATGTGACGAAGAGGCGATCCCATCGGTAAACCAAAGTTTTGTCTATAAAAATTGTTATGAAACGTGAAAAAACATTAATTGGCACATTTATGTGCAGGAATAGGCAATTTTAATTTTGTGCTTTAGTTAAGTATATTTTTAGTAAATTTAGTCATTTCTTTACAGGAACATTTGGGCATAAAGATTTTATATCTAATCGATTGGTATATTTGTTTTTATGTTTATGTTTATTTTGATTTATTTAACAGTTCACAAGAGTTTCTATATGCGAGGAGCTAATTGTGCCAATAATGGGATTAAACAAATTCTGCCGGCTAGTTTATGCAAGGCGCTTTCTAATTCTTATATAATCAGTTTCACTGGGGGTCCGGTTCATGTATTTTTGATAAAGTGTGAGTGTATTCGGATCGTGTCCGAGAAGTTTAGCCAGGAATTGTCTTAATTAAAAAAAAAAAATTGGTTTCCTTTTTTAATTTTTTAAAGATGGTATTTAAAATATATAACGCATAATTTAATCCCAAGCTAAAATAATTTAAATTAAATTTTTTCCCAAGAACATCGCTTACTCGTTTATCAGACGTTGAACTGTGCCACTCGCCGTCCTCCATAACTTGCTTGACTTTTCGGCTAACCTGATGAATATTGATGTTAAATTTAAAAAATTTGAAAAAAACGTAATGTTTTTGATATTGCATATAAAAATACTTGTCACAAAATAAAATCCGCACATTTGCCTTGATAAAGTCCCTCAGAGGACGAAACGGGTTGGCTAAGTTTTCATTTTGTCATTATGAATATTGTCCATTTATAGATACCTGAAATTTTTGTATGCACACACACACACACACACACACACACACACACACACACACACATACATATATATACACTGCGTGCCAAATTATTATTGAGATAACTTTTTTCTAATATTTCAAAAATTGTCCAATCAATTCACACAAAATTTCCACACAATGTTGGCAACACTGACCTACGCAATCACTGAAATTTTCGTATTGATCTGCGCAATGTAAACAAACTGGCGCTATATTTGTTATCAGCACGGTGATTTGAGTGGGCCAAATTATTAGAAAAGTAAAAGAATTTAGTGAAAAGATGGGCCGTAAAAGCAGTTTAAGTGATGCTGAAAAGAAAACTATCACCTCAGAACTCTCAAAAGGTAAATCTACCTTAGAAATTTCTAAAATGATAGGGAGGTGTCATCAAACTGAAAAAGTTCACCACCGACCCTACACAAGTACGCAAAAGAGCAGATAAAGTTAAGCCGAGTGTTATTTCACGTCATCTCATGTCATGAATTAATCGAGAGGCCACGAAGAACCCTGGACTTACCAGTCAAGAGCTTTTCAGCCGCATTGGGGATCCTACTGTGTCTAAAAGTACTCGGTGTCGGTATCTGAGGGAAATAGCAACAACAGTCAAACTTGTATCGAAGCCTCCGTTGACGAGAAATCACATTCAAAATCGCTTGCAATGGCCAGAGGACAATATGAAGATTGACTTCTCTAAAGTTTTGTTCACAGACAAAACTCGAGCTGTTACAGTGTAAACCTAGCCGCTCCGTTAGCAGTGTGCACCAAAGAGGAACAAAGAGCCGTGATCCGAATCCGCAGAGAATATGCTACCTCATCGTTGATAAATCACTGGTTTGCCATTAGTATCTCTCGAGCTTGCTGAATCTTCTCATCAATGGTGGAAACTGACGGGCACCCTGTTCCTTCTTCGGGCGTTACGCTTGTCCGGCAACTTTTAAACTTCTCGATCCACTCATACACACTTCTACGCAGTAATGCACTGTCGCCAAATTGTGTTCAAAGCCTCCGATGAATTTCAGCCCTTGGCAAGAAAAATCGGATCACTGCTCTTTTTGTTCCTCCTTGGACACTGGTAGAGGAGCGGCCATGTTTACACTGTAACAGCAGCAAGAAAACTGGTACGATCAAGCACAACCTTTGATCCCGTGACCACCATAGTATCGACTATAAGCACGCATGAGCAAAGGTTATGTGACAAACTTAAAGATATGTTATGGTGAATGTATGAATAAGTTTTAACTTACTCTCTTATATTCGTTTTGATCTAAGGTCATTATTTTCCGAACAGTATAATATTTAAACAAATTTTACTTACATTTATTTTTATATCTTTTCTGATCATTACCTTGCGAATAGTATAATAAACAAATTTTACTTAAGTTTGTTTGTATATCCTTTCTGGTTTAACGTCATTAATTTCCGAACACCCTAATATTTGAATAAATTTTACTTACATTTGTTTCTATATCCTTTCTGGTCTAACGTCATTACATTCTGAACAACCTAATATTTGAATAAAGTTTACTTAAGTTTGTTTGTATATCCTTTCTGGTCTAACGTCATTTCTTTCCGAACACCCTAATATTTGAATAAAGTTTACTTACATTTGTTTCTATATCCTTTCTGGTCTAACGTCATTACTTTCCGAACACCCTAATATTTGAATAAATTTTACTTACATTTGTTTGTATATCCTTTCTGGTCTAACGTCATTACTTTCTGAACACCCTAATATTTGAATAAATTTTACTTACATTTGTTTCTATATCCTTTCTGGTCTAACGTCATTACATTCTGAACAACCTAATATTTGAATAAAGTTTACTTAAGTTTGTTTGTATATCCTTTCTGGTCTAACGTCATTTCTTTCCGAACACCCTAATATTTGAATAAATTTTACTTACATTTGTTTGTATATCCTTTCTGGTCTAACGTCATTACTTTCCGAACACTCTAATATTTGAATAAATTTTACTTACATTTGTTTCTATATCCTTTCTGGTCTAACGTCATTACTTTCCGAACACCCTAATATTTGAATAAATTTTACTTACATTTGTTTCTATATCCTTTCTGGTCTAACGTCATTACTTTCCGAACACCCTAATATTTGAATAAATTTTACTTACATTTGTTTCTATATCCTTTCTGGTCTAACGTCATTACTTTCTGAACACCCCAATTTTGAATAAATTTTACTTAAGTTTGTTTCTATATCCTTCCTGGTTTAACGTCATTACTTTCCGAACACCCTAATATCTAAATAAATTTAACTTACATTTGTTTCTATATCCTTTCTGGCCTAACGTCATTACTTTCCGAACACCCTAATATTTGAATAAAGTTTACTTACATTTGTTTGTATATCTTTTCTGGTCTAACGTCGTCACTTTCTGAACACCCTAATATTTGAATAAATTTTACTTACATTTGTTTGTATATCCTTCTTTGTCTAACGTCATTACTTTCCGAACACCCTAATATTTAAATAAATTTTTCTCATATTTGTTTGTATATCCTTTTTGGTCTAAAGTCATCACTTTTCGAACACCATATTTTTCTTACATTTGTCTGTATATCTTCTTCTGCTATAACGTAATTACTTTTATTTATATATCCTTTCTTGTAAAACTTAATGATTTTCC